TATCACTACACCACCTCTACCTATACCTTTGATGCAGGAGTGCCAGCGCCCAAGCCGCACTCTGACTACACGTACAACACGGGCGCTCAGACCTGTTCGGCGCGCCGTTCTGGGTGAGATGTACTGGTACTGGGGGGCGGCTACGTCGCCCTGCTCGGATATTCTCGCGCAGACATCGTCGACAAGCTCGCCGAGCTGAGCGCCAACAACTGGATCGACCAGCTCACGCGCGCCGTCTTCCTCGAATTCAACCTCTACTACCCGGCTTTCTAAATTCTGTTTGTCGTCGCCGAGGCGCTGTTTGAGTTCCCGGCGCAGGGAGGTAAGGCGCACACCGCCCCTAGTGGCGCGTCCGCGACGGGTGGGGAGGAGCGGGTTAAGAGGGGTGGGGGGGAGGGGTCATTGTGGGGGGCTCTGTGGTGACGGAATAATTATAATGAGCGGTCGCGATGATGAAATATATTAAGTGGCCAGGCGAGTGAGAGAAAGCAGGCAGACAGACAGACAGAGAGGGTGGAGGTATCTTTTGAGTTCGCGCCCATGGGTTCAGTGTGTGTGACGGTGTCTGTTCGCGGTTCTAGGTGTTATTCAGTGTGTGTGACGGTGTCTGTTCGCGTTCTAGGTGTCATTCAGTGTGTGTGACGTGTCTGTTTGCGTTCTAGGTGTCATCAAGTGTGTGTGACGGTGTCTGTTTGCGTCTAAGTGTCATTCAGTGTATGTGACGGTGTCTGTTTGTGTTCTAGGTTCATCAGTGTGTGTGACGGGTGTCTGTTTGCGTTCTAGGTGTCATCAGTGTGGTGTACGGTGTCTGTTTGCGTTCTAAGTGTCATTCAGTGCATGTGACGGTGTCTGTTTGCGTTCTAGGTGTCATCAGTGTGTATGACGGTGTCTGTTTGCGTTCTAGGTGTCATTCAGTGTGTGTGACGGACCGACGCGGGTCTGTTTGTGTTCTAGGTGTCATCAGTGTGGTAGACGGTGTCAGTTTGTGTTCTAGTGTTTATCAGTGTGTATGACGGTGTCTGTTTGTGTTCTAGGGTGTCATCAGTGTGTATGACGGTGTCTGTTTGTGTTCTATGTGTCATCAGTGTGTATGACGGTGTCTGTTTGTGTTCTAGGTGTCATCAGTGTGTATGACGTGTCTTGTTTGTGTTCTAGGTGTCATCAGTGTGTATGACGGTGTCTGTTTGTGTTCTAGGTGTCATCAGTGTGTATGACGGTGTCTGTTTGTGTTCTAAGTGTCATTCAGTGTGTGTGACGGACCGACGGTGTCTGTTTGCGTTCTAGGTGTCATTCAGTGTGCATGACGGTGTCTGTTTGCGTGCTATGTGTCATCAGTGTGTGTGACGGCATCGGTTTGCGTTCTAGGTGTGATCAGTGTGTGTGTGTGTGTGTGTGTGTGTGTGTGTGTGTGTGTGTGTGTGTGTGTGTGTGTGTGTGTGTGTGTGTGTGTGTGTGTGACAGTGTCTGCTTGCGTTCTAGGTGTCCTTCAGATGCCACATGTCGACGTGCTCCGCGTCGACCCGTACGTCGGCCCGATGGCTATCGTCATCATCATCGCCGAGGTCACCACGGTCATTTTTCTTTTGTACTTCACCGTGAAAACGTTGAAGACACTCTGCAAGTTCAGGCGAGATTTCTTCAGGGTACGTATCGCTGTGCACAAAATCTTTCACGACGGTTTGCGAAGCTTGCGTAGACTCCCTACATTTGCCAACATGTAGGCGCTCGAGGGTTGCCTGTAACTTCACGCAATCACAATGTGCGCGCACAGATTCAAGGTAAGCCGAGTTTTTAAAATTAATTACTTAAACATATTATTTTGTGGATATTACTAGAATTACGACCATATTAGGTATAGCTTATGCAATAACGTCGTTATCTAATATCGTATTGATAATAACTTTATATAACTGCGCGTAAATGAGAGCATCAGTCGAATCAAGGGTCTGACCAGGTCAAAGTTCAAATCACATCTGTCGGGTTTGTTTGATCGGCTGTGTTTTGCTGGCGGTCGTCATGTAGGATGTGTGGAACATCGTAGATATCTCCGTGGTGCTGCTGGTCTTCACTTCCGTCATCATCTATGGTTACCGCGCCGTGTTTGGCAGCCTAGCGCTGAGTCAGTTCCGCGAGGATCATTATCAGTTTGTCAACTTCATGAACATGGTGTCCTATACTGAGGTGTGTGTCTACGACAAGCACGCACGCACGCAAACACTGACGTGATCACGCACGCATGCAAGCACGTACAGACGCGACGCACGCACGATCGCATGCAAGCAAGCACGTACAGACGCAGTGTGTGTGTGTGTGTGTGTGTGTGTGTGCATCATGACTATCGTAAGGAAGAGACATTTGGTGTGTTATTGAGAAAGACTTCCCACTTGCCGACATATCACAGAAATTAATCTGCTACGGTCACGTTTAGTACAGAAACTCGCGTACAGTAGGCCTACAGTATGGCGGGTGTGAATTGATCGTAAAATCATATGGAGTGACAGTCGACCGTTGCTGCCACCTCGTTTACAGACTCATGCGATGTGCCAAAGCCGATGAATTTGCTGACAACCCGCTGTAATACCGAGTACAGCTTCAGTAACGAGGATGAGGGAGACTACGGCATCGGCTGGGCCCCGCTCAACTACTCAAGTAAGCTCGACGCCGACGGCTCATCTCAAAATGGCGGCGTCTTTACGAAATGAGAAACTCCATGTGTTTGAAGCGCGTTTACTGAGCACTCGGCAATGAAGCGTAGTAATCGAGAGGGAATTTGAGAATAGTGTAATGAATTTAGTAATACATTTGAGAGGAAATAGATAGAATAGTGCCATGTATAGCTCTAATGCGACGCCAGCGCCTCACATATATGCACAACGATGATCGTCTGCTGAGTCTGCTCGCAAACTGTCAGCTGCATCCATCAATGTTGCGCGTACTCACGCGGTGATCACAATCGCTAATGATTTTGTCATCGAGGTGTTCTTGTGTTGATGCCTTTCAGATGAGTCAGTCTTAATTCGATTTTTATTATGAGTAATTCTATTTTAGATAAATAATCACGTGTATGGTATTTTAGTTGCGCTCTATTGAACTCAGATTTCAGATTTTATCTCATTGAATTTTTATATGATATGATATTACATGACAATAAATTACATTACATTACATTACAGTAAATTACATTACATTACAGTAAATTACATTACATTACAGTAAATTACATTACATTACAGTAAATTACATTACATTACATTACATTATATCATTATTATGGAGACAAAACATCTAGGCGACTACGACGATATACGCCCTCCCATTGCCACACCATACATATCTGCACACACACATATTTATGTTATAGGGGGCCTATATGATATCAGGGATTAATAATTATTCATTATCATTATTAACCCCTGAATGATAAATCTATTTTCTGTCTGATCTGACCTGATATATCTATATCTGATTAATATATTTATCACTACACCACCTCTACCTATACCTTTGATGCAGGAGTCTGCCGAGCGCCAAGCCGCGCACTCTGACTACACGTACAACACGGCGCTCAGACCTGTCGTGCGCGCCGTTCTGGGGTGAGATGTACTGGTACTGGGGCGGCGGCTACGTCGCCCTGCTCGGATTATCTCGCGCAGACATCGTCGACAAGCTCGCCGAGCTGAGCGCCAACAACTGGATGACCAGCTCACGCGCGCCGTCTTCCTCAATTCAACCTCTACTACCGGCTTCTAATCTGTTTGTCGTCGCGAGGCGCTGTTTGAGTTCCCGCGCAGGGAGATAAGGCGCACACCGCCCCTAGTGAGCGCGTCCGACGGGTGCGGTGGAGGAGCGGGTTAAGAGGGGTGGGGGGGGAGGGTCATTGTGGGGGGCTGTGGTGACGGAATAATTATAATTGAGCGGTCGCGATGATGAAATAATTAAGGTGGCCAGGCGAGTGAGAGAAAGACAGGCAGACAGACAGACAGAGAGGGTGGAGGTATCTTTTGAGTTCGCCCCATGGTTCAGTGTGTGTGACGGTGTCTGTTCGCGTTCTACGGTTTATTCAGTGTGTGTGACGGTGTCTGTTCGCGTTTTAGGTGTCATTCAGTGTGTGTACCGGTGTCTGTTTGCGTTCTAGGTGTCATCAGTGGTGTGACGGTGTCTGTTTGCGTTCTAAGTGTCCATTCAGTGTATGTGACGGTGTCTGTTGTGTTCTAGGTGTCATCAGTGTGTGTGACGGTGTCTGTTTGCGTTCTAGGTGTCATCAGTGTGTGTGACGGTGTCTGTTTGCGTTCTAAGTGTCATTCAGTGCATGTGACGGTGTCTGTTTGCGTTCTAGGTGTCATCAGTGTGTATGACGGTGTCTGTTTGCGTTCTAGGTGTCATTCAGTGTGTGTGACGGACCGACGGTGTCTGTTTGTGTTCTAGGTGTCATCAGTGTGTATGACGGTGTCAGTTTGTGTTCTAGGTGTTATCAGTGTGTATGACGGTGTCTGTTTGTGTTCTAGGTGTCATCAGTGTGTATGACGGTGTCTGTTTGTGTTCTATGTGTCATCAGTGTGTATGACGGTGTCTGTTTGTGTTCTAGGTGTCATCAGTGTGTATGACGCGTGTCTGTTTGTGTTCTAGGTGTCATCAGTGTGTATGAACGGTGTCTGTTGTAGTTCTAGGGTCATCAGTGTGTATCGACGGTGTCTGTTTGTGTTCTAAGTGTCATTCAGTGTGTGTGACGGACCGAACGGTGTCTGTTTGGCGTTCTAGGTTGTCATTCAGTGTGCATGACGGTGTCTGTTTTGCGTTCTATGTGTCATCAGTGTGTGTGACCGGCATCGGTTTGCTTCTAGGTGTGATCAGTGTGTGTGTGTGTGTGTGTGTGTGTGTGTGTGTGTGTGTGTGTGTGTGTGGTGTGTGTGTGTGGTGTGTGACAGTGTCTGCTTGCGTTCTAGGTGTCCTTCAGATGCCACATGTCGACGTGCTCCGCGTCGACCCGTACGTCGGCCGATGGCTATCGTCATCATCATCGCCGAGGTCACCACGGTCATTTTTCTTTTGTACTTCACCGCTGAAAACGTTGAAGACACTCTGCAATTCAGGCGAATTTCTTCAGGGTACGTATCGCTGTGCACAAAATGCTTTCACGACGGTTTGCGAAGCTTGCGTAGACTCCCTACATTTGCCAACATGTAGGCGCTCGAGGGTTGCCTGTAACTTCACGCAATCACAATGTGCGCGCACAGATTCAAGGTAAGCCGAGTTTTTAAATTAATTACTTAAACATATTATTTTGTGGATATTACTAGAATTACGACCAATTAGGTATATGCTTATGCAATAACGTCGTATCTAATATCGTATTGATAATAACTTTATATAATGCGCGTAAATGAGAGCATCAGTCGAATCAAGGGTCTGACCAGGTGCAAAGTTCAATCACATCTGTCGGGTTTGTTTGATCGGCTGTGTTTGCTGGCGGTCGTCATGTAGGATGTGTGGAACATCGTAGATATCTCCGTGGTGCTGCTGTCCTTCACTTCCGTCATCATCTATGGTTACGCGCCGTGTTTGGCAGCCTAGCGCTGAGTCAGTTCGCGAGGATCATTATCAGTTTGTCAACTTCAATACACTGGTGTCCTATACTGAGGTGTGTGTCTACGACAGCGCACGCACCTAGCAAACACTGACGTGATCACGCACGCATGCAAGCAAGCACGTACAGACGCACGCACGCACGATCGCATGCAAGCAAGCACGTACAGACGCGACGCACGCACGATCGCATGCAAGCAAGCACGTACAGATGCACGCACGGTCGGATACGTACGTCCGTGCACACGCGTACATGCACACGTCCGCAGACACCTACAATCATTGGTCTCCGTCATTGTTTTTCTCTTGCTCTCCTAATTGCATCGACTCCGACATTACTTTTACATGTTTATATATAAATACTGCTCGAAGCGTATCAACAACCCCTACCAACACATAATCGTAACAACTTATAATTTTTTATTCTTATCAACATATTTGTATCGACGTGTTTTGATTAGCAAACTATATGCGTATTAATACATTTCGATTAGTTTATTAAGCCAATTATGCATTTTAAAAAGCGTAGCAGGATTCTTTGGCTACCGAATATTCTACAATAAATAACATATAACTATAGGAATAACAGAAGCAGAGAGCTTGTGTGGCTACAATTTGCATACACCGTTTGTAGGACCCTCCATCCCGCCATAACACACTGTGAAACATTTACATTTCTAGTGCCGACTGCCTTTATATTATTACAGCGGGTAGTTAAAATCTATGACCTGGCTACAAAACGGGGTTACCAAGCATGCGCAGTCTAAATGCGGAATTGGCTTATTGGCATCGATTCATGTGAATCAATATCCGTTGTTCCCCGCTAATCCGTCTGCGACGCCGCGCGCGCCATCTGCTGGTTACAGATGTACATCACCATCATTTCGATCGTGCTGTTCATCGCCACGATCAAGTTGCTGCGTCTGCTAAGCTTCAACAAGCGCATAGCCTCGTTCTCGCGCACGCTCCAGTACCTCAAGAAGCCGCTCGGAAACTTCATGCTGGTCTTCTTGCTCTGTTACGTGCCGTTCTCCATCCTCGCACACCTCGTCTTTGGACGGGCGGTGGCCCAGTTCGCCACCTGGCGGCAGTCGGTCATATCGCTGTTCTTGATAGCGGGCACATTGGGTGAGTTCACGTTCTCCCGCGCGTCGCGTCTGGTACATATACTGGTATATATGTAATTATATCGTGTTTACGTAGTTCTACATGATACTTAGTTCTAGAAGTCGTCGAATTCTAGGTCTTTCACATAGCGAAGAAGTAGTACGTGAGGCTCTGTACAACACTGTGTGTGTTCGACCCGCGTTACATATAATACGCTGCGCCTGCCCGCTCTCACGTACTACTTCTCGCCACGTGATAGACCTAGAATTCGACGACCTATACAATACCAACCGCCTGCTCGGTCCCGTCTTCTACTTCATCTTCTCACTCATCGTCAACGTGCTCCTGGTCAACATCATTCTGGCGATCGTCATCGAGGCGTTCGCGCACACTCGCGAGGAAATGCGACGCGAGCAGAACGAATATGAGATCATGCAGTTCATGATGATGCGCATGAAGGCAGTCATGGGCCTCACCGTGCCCGACTCGAAGGGCGACCCGAGACACATGTACGTCGAAGGTAGGTACCGCCACAGATATCCTATAAGAAAGGGGAATAGTTATTTTTTCCCGGACGCGGGATCGGATGGTTTTAAATATCTAAAAACCGGAAAGTATCGGATAAATGTTCGAGATTAGGATTTTCAAGACTACGAGGAACCAGGAATTGCGATTTTATACGCAGCAGTTCGTAAGCTCGCACGTTGGTACGTTTGTTGCTGCAGCTGTTGATCCTGTCGATGAGAAGTGTGACGAGATGACGGAAAAGGTGGACGTCATGATTGAGAGGCTAATGGAATTCATGAAGGCGACGCAGAAGGAGGACCTGGATACGTACAAGGAGATCAATCTGGACGCGCCCGTCGAGCTCAAGCGCAAGCGCATCATCATCGCCAACTGATGGCTCGCTGTGAGAGTTGGGTGTCGCGGCCATGTTGGCACGGTACATATATGGTGGCCATATCATCAAATAGAATCAATCTTGTAGGTTCTAAGCGCACATCGTGCATTCACGCCGTGAGTTATCTAATCTTTTGTCGTCTTTTGTGAACACGCGACGGGAGTAGGCTCTGTCAGGTGTATGTTAGATGGCGTGTGTGTAGAGCAAGGGCGCAACCACGTGTTGAAAGTTGGGGGGGTCACAAGCAGCCAATAGCAACGTGATCTGCGGGCGAGCGAATATCACGTATTGGTTCAATATCACGTATTTCAGCGTGCTGATGGAAGTGTTGCATAATTGTGATGTCATGAATGACATTACTAGGATCATGTATACATAAAATACCAAAATGTTTTTATTAATTATATTAAGCTAGTAGTAAAGCTACACACAGACTGTGCTAACTGTGTGACACAGTTAGCATGATTAAGATGAAGAGGAAAATAATAATGATGAAAATAATAATGCAAAAAATGCCTGACACGTGAAAACAGAGAACAGTGTTAGAAACCAAATGTGACCTTCCTTGAGTCACACTTTGCAACAAAATCCTTTGCAATTGCTTCAATATCGATTCCAGAACACGTGATAAAAAACAATCGCGTTGATTGGTTCAATTGTCTTTTCGCCGTCACGTCAGCCGGTAAAAGTCAAACTTATTTGACTTTCGCCATCGCCGTGAAACCAGGCCTGCGCCGTGCAGTGTCAGTGGAGACTGCGCCAGAAGATATTATAGATTAGAAGGTAAGGGTGAACGGCGCCGCGCCGCGACGCGCCGCTTGTGTGAAGATGGGCCTATATTTTGTGTGTGTGCCTATAACACAGTTGGCTTGCGAACGCGTGATGAATATCGTGCTCGTTCCATGCACGTGAGATTGAATGTACTATGTAGGTCGAATCTAAATGATATTAACAAGGGTTCTATTTAGATATCTGAATCTGAGTCACAGTTATCACACTGCACTTGACCACCTGGGGTTTTTATTTATTTTAACCTGTGAAATATGGATGTTTCACGATAATAAACGCTTATCGGACTATTTTGGACCTCTCAGAAAATAAGGTCTTCCAGAAGTTGGGGAGGTCCACATAAAAGTCGGAGGGGTCGTGACCCCCCCGACCCCCCCCAGTGGTTGCGCCCATGGTGTAGAGAGGGTTAGCATTGCGCGACCAGAATGAAGGAACATGCTGAGCAAACTCGACAAGTTCATTTGGAAGATTTCTATCTTTTTTTTGTCAACAATTGAAGTACTACCTCGTTGTATTAGCTTAAATCACGATTTACTCAAGTTTGACATGAATACGTAGCTGTATTTGCAGGGGTGAATCAAGATTTAAAAAAAGTGGGTAATAATTAAATTAATATATATTATACATATATAATTCTGCAGACAAGCTGCTACGGCGAGCAAAGCAGCAGCGAAGCGAGAGTGGGAGAGGAGAACAGATCTGAATTCTCAATATTTGAAAAAAATTACAATTTAAAATGCGTGCATAAATCATTTTTAATAAATTTTTATATTTCATTTATACTAATCTTATACTTTACCATATACATCAATTTATATTTGAAATATACGAGGAATAGGGTGTAACATACGAGACACCTACATACTATACATAACTACATCTGCCATTGTTGAGATTTCAGGTTTCATATAATACATTTAATTTAAATCTGCTTCTTTAAAACAAACAAAATATGAGATCGGGCAGATTTTTGTCACAGTGTACAGATTGTATTGATGACCAGTCCTAGCAATATTTGTGATAGCCTACTGTACAGCTGTTGTGATAGCCTACCTCTGTTGTGATAGCCTACATACTTAAGCAGGCGCTTCCTAATCTGTGATCGTAATAGAAATCATAATCAATGTTCAGATTGATGCACATTTCTGTGATGATCATATTAAATATATATAGTCTAATGTTTTAGTATATAATAATGTTTTAATATATAATATTGTGGGCAAGGTCCCACTGGCAACCCTCTCGCTAGCCACGGACCTGATATCTGATATATTTACTCTTCCCATATTCCTATTGCATATACAACTATATCATTTATGGCTATGTGACTTGGCAGGTTGTAACGTATAAGTTATAATGTATTATAAGTAAAATTATTATATATGTAAAATAAACTTGCACTGCAGTTGCACGGCTAAAACAAACAAATGCGTCTTGCTGCTATTAACACTAACCAATCGATCGGTGTGCTAACACCCAAGAGTTATAGACCTCTTCACTAGGATCCGTGTGGGGCTCGTAAGAATGGCAGAATCCTAGCCAGACTGACAAAACGTCAGAAAACAAGGATGTCAGTACGAATATTACGCACGACAGATCTTGACGCTCCGAAGTGGTAACACATGCTATATGGCCATTGTATGACTTCAATATACAATAGGATTTTCGTACGTACGTATCATACTTATTTATACGCACTCCTCATCAATAATACCTGTTAACGTTCAGCTGTAAGAACCGAGTAACACACGTAGTAGTTTGTTATAGGCGATTTATTAACCAGTTTAAAACAGGGCAGTGCAATCGTGTGGTCGTTAAGAATTCGGATCAGCTGCGATTCAATCACATTTGTACATTTCTGATACAAAAACCCATTAGAGTGACGGAGATGGGAGCTTAGCTCCCTAGCAACCAGTCTCTCGCCCGTAGTCACAACGATGGCACCGTTCTATGATGAGAACAGGTGTAGAATTAAAATGAAAGCAATTAGCGAGCGACTCACTTACCGAGGAAGCCTTCAGCATACGTGCTGGTCTTGTTCCATCGTTACCCTGACAACCTAGGATTTCTCACGATTTGAGGAAAACAATCATTTGTGCGCATGCAACGACAGAAGAGAATTTTCTAGATAACAATTAAATTCATTCGCGGCATGCTTGTACGATGGTGGTGGCATGATCTCAAGATTAGTGAACATAGATTACTGAACCATAGATAGACCGACATAACAGCCTGGCCATCTGATGGACAAGTTACCCTACAATAAGTTACTCCTGCTATCCTTAATCGTTAATGGCACCATTGCTTGATTACAGAATTCACATTCCCAATGGCTCGCGTGCATTGGGATATCAACCTCCTGAGCACCACCTCCCCCATCTTACTTTGTGATTAGTGCTTCCATACACACAAGATAAAAATATATTGCCTATTCTCAACTTGACATATAAAAATTCATATGACACGAATAACTTCCATAACACATTACCTTGGCATTAAAAACATTCCCTCGTACACAGTGTACGAAATCGTATTGTACACGCTGTTATAAATTCTATAATCCTAGATGCAGATAAAATTACTGTACAAAAATATAGTCGTCATTGGCTCTGCAGCAGGCAGCCCGTGATCCACAAATGTCATACGCCAGGCAAAAGAAAAGGCCTATGTTACTTCTATCTTCCATCATCAAATAACACTAGTGCCCCACAGTGCAGTGAGGCTGGTGGCTTCATCAATTGTCATACAGAGTACGATATCAGCCATCGGCTTCCAGTGATCATAGATTCTTTATCAAACGGGCCCCTGCAAGCACGCACACACACATGCATGCACATGAGCAGGTACGCACGCACGCAAATACGTACGCACAGTCCACTAGTACTGCTGCAATGCAGATGCATTTTATGATAAAAACTAAATCAGCGCCCTGATAAAATAGTACCAGAGTCAGAGACGACGTTAAGTGTAACCAGCCACTTATTGTGCGTGTTGCTGATCGCCATGTCCTGAATACCTCCTGATGACTGATTAGCAACACACGAAGATACCAACTACGAAATACTGCGTGCAATCTCACACTCTGCTAACCAGCAATCAGCAATCAATCGACAGATGAGCAATATTCGAAAACAGACGGTGCCCTGCAGCAATTGTGACGCCAGCATCAGAACTACTATACTGATGAGAGCCAGGTTTCTTAGATTCAAGCCCAGACCTGCAACGACAGAAGCATCAACGTAAGTAATGGTTAACAACGTAGGCCGAGTACAACCAACACAAAGCATAGTGGAATTATGCTCACAAATGTTTACAGAACGATACCATGACAGTAACATGCTACACCTCAATGAGACTAATGACTGACTCATACCCATGCAAGTAAGCTAGTAGGAGAATTATGAACCATACGCTCACATTAGATACAGACCAAGTTCAGGATTTGGCCATCGCACCCTGATAGTTGAAGTTGGGAGCTTAATGATTGGAGCATACTCTCATTAAGAAGGATGGTTGGAGCTTACCTTGACAGTGCTGTCAACACCACCTGAGAAGACCATGCCACGTGACACTGCTAGGCAGGTAACGCTACCCTTGTGTCTCAGCATCGTCTGTGTGCAGAGCATATTATCCAGACTCCAAATCTATGTAAGACAGCGTATGCGGTAACACGTGGGTACCCAGCACATTAACATACCACCTCACTTTAACCATCGAGAAATCTGCTCATCTGAAGTTTACTAAACTATCCCGGTCTCTAACCGTCCCTCCTGCATACACTTGTTCCCTCTCCCACTTCTCCAACCTCACATAATATTTCTTATCATTCAACACACTCTCCCCTCACCCCACACACAGCCTACTCTGCACCACTTATCTCCCCACCCCACCCTACACACGACCTTCCTTGCCCCACAGATCTACCCCCCCCCCACTATACACGACCTGCACTGCCCCACAGATCTCCCCACCCCACACTATACACGACCTACCCTATCCCACACAGAGCCTCCCCTACATAGCCTGCCCTACTCCAGAAACCTCCTCACCCCACCCTATACACGACCTCCCCGCATCACGCACACAACTTGCGCTAGTGCGCAAACTTTCCCACCCACACGCAAACTCCTCCACCGACACCATCCCACCTTCCCCCTGCCACACACGCACGCAGTGAGTGTGGCAGCTGTGACACACCTACCCGCAGCGAGCGATCATAGGAGGCACTGAACACCTTCGTGCCGGCCTGGGTGTTAAGCACGGTGAGAGCATACACGGTGCCCGTGTGTCCAGTCAGCTTCGATATCTGCTCGTACGACTCGAGGTTCCACACCTGCCGATGACAATGTGACACTCGCTATGACACATACAGTGACACTCGCTATGACACATACAGTGACACTGACAGTGACACTTGCGGCAACACATGTTGTAACACTCACAGTGACACTTAGTGACTGCGACACTCACAGTGACACAACACGGTGAGACTCACCGCGACACTCACAATGACAGTTGCTGTGACACTCACAGTGACACTTGCTGTGACACTCACAGTGACACTTGCTGTAAGACTTATGAGTGCTTGGGCAAGTGCAATCCTCAATATGTGAACACACGGTGTAGGACTTGTACAAGTTTATAAGTGCTTAAAAGAAGTATACCGCAAACCATAACCGCAAAATTGCATGCATTTTCTTATCCACACATAGTTTAATTTACCTTTTATCTGCACTACACATCCTCTAAGACCATAGTGTATTTTATAAACAAACAAAAACACGCAAGGTGAACAAAATTAGTATGGAATATAGGATAGGAATTCGATATAAAAAACGCAACATAAATCATATTAAGATGCAGCAGTGGCTGACAAGGTGAGATCTACATAGTTTGCTATGTCTTGAATCATTGAAGTTTCACTATATATGAATAGCTTGTCTAAATTCATAGTGTCACTGACATGCATGACCTTGCCTCATCCGTTCTCCCATATCTGCAGCAAGGTGTGTATGCGTGCACAGGCTCGGTCCACCATACTTACGTGAATGCAGTTCTCGTATGTTCCACACAAAATGTACTGGTTTGTAATAGCAATCGAGTACACACTGCCACCAGAGGTCTCTAGTATGTGCACGCATTCCAGCTTGTCTAGATCCCATATCTACATGAGAAGGATAAAAAATCTGAACTACTAGAAATATAAGAATACATAGAGAATGTTCATAGAACTGTATATAGACGTATAGATGCACATATATTTTATATTTTATGTATCATGTATTATATATATGTATTCTAGTATTCAGCAAAAAGAAATTGCATACATTGCCTTTCATGAGCCGGACAAAGTCGTGTCCTTGATAACAGACTTATCATAAACACAATACTTTCTATTGCTTAGCCTCAGCAATTATTAGATTATTTGACCATGACATGACAAAGCTACTTTTGAAGCACAAGACATAAGGTTGAATTTTTACATGCCTTAATCAAACAAGATAACTTGTTGATTCATTTCACTTGTTTCTTCAATGTTAACTACTTGTTCCTTCTCTATCCACATGGTAATAATTACATTATTCAACTAATAAAATAAGTTCCTTTGGATTGTTAAAATATCAAATCCTATTAGGCAGAAATAGGTTCGTCTGGATTCCCGTCACTTCATAAGCTAGGTTTATGTGTGTGGTAATGAGTTGCAGCTATTAGTGATAAATGGTGTTACCGTGATTGTCTGGTAGGAGCCACAGTACAGGTGTTTCTGAGAGGCGACCAGCGCACGAACCCAGTGGTTAATCCCAGTTATAGTTGTCTTCAGCTCAAACGTATTGATGTCCCACACCTGCAGGATAAACGATCAACACGATGTAAGCAGCAGAGGCACAAAAGAACCTAAATTCCAGTGAATTGGCAATTTCTTCTCTACATCTAGCACCTGAATATGGAGATGTTAGACATACATTTAATTTTAATGTAATTAACACACAGGCACACTGAAACATATGTATAATATTCGTGTTTATAATTAAGATCCTTGTGGGAAATACCTTAATAACTTTCAGCGAGCCACTGAACAGGCAGTTGTGTGATGGCACCAACGTGCACACATGATTGTCATTGGCCTGGATTGTCCTAACACATTCAAACGTGCTAAGGTCCCAAACCTGCCCAACAGCAAAAGTTATGTGTGCACAGTTTAGCAAATTCACGATCACCAAACTTATACACGCACATATAAATATTGCGTCAGAAAAACACAATTTTGCCCCACCTAACCAACAAGAATGTTATGCCAGTTAGAAGTGAGGGTACACATGAATGAACAACAAATAAACAATTATATACATATATTTCATATATTGTTATATATATATATATATATATATATATATATATATATACTAGTTAATTAGTGCTTGCACGGCCAAATATGTGATCATGGATTCTTACGTTAATCATGTTATCAGCTGATTCCAGCTGAACAGTCTGTTACCATAAAGACACAGTGCCAACACGATGCCGTGTGTCGCTCCAGTGTTTTGATGCATTTGTATGTAGTACTTGTGTCCCACACCTGTGACACACAGAGGCAAAAACATACACTAAAGGTTGCATAAGCAACTCTACAATGTCTGCCACATAATAAATGTAAGGGTAGCGTGTGGAGCGGATTTAGACATGCAATTTCCTCCAACAATCTATGCCCTTTGAAACAGTTGTTACTAATCATCTACCTCAACCAGAGAGACGCGGATACAGGTGGCGTTGCGCAAAAGATGCGTTGTTCCCCGACGCCGAGAGCGGTTAAGCCACGCACTTCCGCGGACTGGCGCACGCGACCGCGGTGTGTTGTAATTAGCATCTCGCGCTGCCCGCTATACGAATTTGCGCCGCCAAAAGGAGGGCGGTCAGCCACGCCGCGAATCCGTATAGCGGGCAAGCGTAACATCGCGCAGTTTTCGTCATCACACCGGCTCGGCTATGGCGGCTTGGGTGGGGGCATTTGCTGCTGCTGCTGCAGAGCCGCGCTGCGCGGGCAGGGCGCGAGTTTGGGGTTGCTGCTGCTGCTTGCCAGTACTCTACTTAGCTACGTGTAAAAACTGGCACGCCAGACCACCACGTGTCTGCAGTATTCGCCCGCGACGTTAGCTCAGGTGCTTGCACGACGTGCCGTCGCCACGGCAGCGCGAAGGTCAATAGGTTGGTAAAACCTCGCACATACGCCAGTCAGGCGCCGGCACGGCGTCAGCACTTTCGGAGATAGGCATCTGGCCCGCCACCCACGTGGAGCCGCCGTACGACACTTCGTAAAAAACTCTGTGATAGACATAACACGTATACTCGCAGTAGCGCCTGTCACTCGCAGTAGCGGCCAATGACGAGCGCGATCAGTCGTCTGATTCACAGCATTTCTAGCTGAATTTATCTCTGTAGGAGCCAACTACGTCTTAGCATTGAGGCGCGCACTCCCAAAAAGGTTTAGGGACCGTTTGGCAGTGGCCTCAAGCCGTCCATCCCAGAAATGGACGGTATTGGAATTCGCGCCAGTTTTCGCCTCGAGGCGTTTTCAGACCCTGTCTAAGTATCTGCTCTAAGTGGAACAAAAAGGGGCGGTATTCGCTGCTATGCGGGCGCGGCTTGGCGCGAGCGATGCGCTGCGCGCAAAAAACCGGGCCGCAAGTCCTTCAGTGATTGTAGTCCTTTGCCTGGCACTTGCACACGGTAATTAATCTAATCGAATAAACCGAAACTAAGCAGCAACTCCCTTTGACTCGCGTAGCGCCACTATAGCGAGAGAATGATGTAAACTCATTTACTCGGTAGCGACGCCATCTACAGGATGAGATATGAGTGATCAACTCATTACTTGCTAGCACCATCTAGACACGAGGGTTCCCCCCCCCCCCCACCGCAACAGCTCTGAACTTTATCGGAGTTATCAGATGATCCACCCTTAAAGAGGATAGTCACCATGTGTGCAGAGGCACCAAGCAGAGAGCCCATATGGCCACAAAGAGTGCCCTTGCTTATTGATGCCCTCATGTGCGGTTAATACAATGACTGTACTGCGTCTGCGCACGCTGCTCCTTAAAAGTTTCAGTTCCGTCTGCCAGCAAAGACAATGTGGCCGTCACTATCATCGTTTATATACACGGGATTGTATTTACATCTGTGACGTTTAATTTGCGTGTCGGTTGCATTGTTACTGCATTGCATTGTTGTGCATATGCTAATAATGCTTTGTATTTGCGTGCCGTGTTAGTTTGTGTTTGTGTGTTGGTTGTTTGTGTTTGTGTTGTGTCCGGTGTGTGTGATTGTGTTGTGTTGTGTTGTTGCTGCCACTGCAATGCGACAGAGCTCCCTCAAAGAAAGAAAGGTGATGTCACATCATCCC